TCTAACTCCCAAAGTCTGCAACTAAACACTATGAATTCCTTAGGGTGGTGCCAGTCTCATCTTCTTTGCTTTCCCACACTGAGGCTGTGGGCTGAGGAGATGCTTCTCCCCATGACCTTGAACCTCCTCATCCAAGTCCTCCATCACATTCACAGAGCTACAGAAGCAGAAGACTGAGGAGATGCTTCTCCCCATGACCTTGAACCTCCTCATCCAAGTCCTCCATCACATTCACAGAGCTACAGAAGCAGAAGAGAAAGATGGATTGGTGGAAGTCGTAATCATTGTCCCACTGTTTTAAGTATAGCTGTTTTCATTATGGTTTACTAAGCTCTCTTTGTCTGTTCACATTTTTATTTTGTTTGAGAGATGAAATAGTTGTAAATATAATTGCCTTCATTACAGAGCACAAACTTTTTGGAGTTCCACTTGGCACTTTGTTAGAAAATGATCAAAAGCTCCTTCCAAATACCAGGGTTCCACTGATTCTACAAGCAGTAAGTTCATTTTATATCTTTTGTTGCTGTCAATTCTGTGTGCTTGAATTTGACTGCAGTTTTGTTGCCTTTTCATGATGATTTGCCATTTGCTTCACAGTTGCTTTCATGTTTGGAAAAGAAAGGGCTGGATACAGAAGGAATCCTGAGAGTTTCAGGATCACAGTCTCGCATTAAGGTAGAGTGTTGTGGTTTTTAAATCTGTTTCCTCTGGAGTTCTTTGGAAATTTATTGGGGAACCTTCATGAGAACATCAGCATCTGGAACAAGTTTCCTGCAAAAAAACATTTGGCCTGCAATATCATCCCGTGCAATATGCAGATGCAGAAGACTCATAGGTGAGATCTAGATAAAAGTGAATAGAAGGCAGACCACAGCCCATCTGTGGGTCACTAGACAGTTTTTGGTAGACTATCAGACACCTCCTGGTTGCTATATTATTCTGTAGAATGCCTCTGGTAAGTGTTTAGGAAGGGGAGGAACAAGTGCCCCTATAAAAAATGATGAATCAGTAACCTTAGTATTTTTAAGGCCTGTGGAAGATGGGAAAAAACTATGATGAATAAGAGGCTTGGTATACTTGCTCATATTCCCAACTGTTTCTATTGACTAAGGAATTCTATCCAAACATGAAACTAATAGTCCCACCAGAATAATAGCCTCAGTGAGAAAAATAGAACCCTTTCTCCTTGTCTCTTTTGAATCCAATGTACTAAACACCACATTGGTTCTTATGTTCATGAAGAAAGTGTATAGGCTGATCACTTATCAAGCATTAGTTAAGCCTTACCTTTATGTGATTCTTCATGTGTGGTCTTAGATGTCTGGCACATCGTATAAGAACATAGTTGCTTCTGCTTCCCATCACAGTTGGAACATGCAGTGCTTTGAAATCTTCTATAAAATGCAAAGGTTTAAGAAAGATGTTAAGAGGTTTCTCAGCTGTCATGTTGGCTTAGAAAGTAAAAATTGTTGTTGTTGTTGTTGTTGGTTGCACAGTCAGCCAGATATTTAGACTCAATTTGGCATTTTTATCCACCTATCAAGTCCTTCCCGAGGACCTGGGATAGGCAGATGTTGTTTGATGGTGTCAAAGGTATCGTCACAGGATGTAAGCTGTTCCAAGTAAAGCTGCCTTTTGCGATTGACTCTATGGTGATTTTGTCAATGCCGATGATCTTCAAGTGGTGCTCCAGATGTTTTGGGATTGCACCCAAGGCACCTGTTACTATTGGTATTTCTTTTGCCACAATCATTCTATTTCTATTTGCAGGTCCTTGTATTTTGTGATTTTCTCCAGTTCTTTCTGTTCTATTCTGCCTTCTCCAGGTATTGCAATGTCCACTATCCAGACATTGCAGTACCTGGAGATTATCATTGTTGTTGTTATTATCTATATGCCGCCTGACTCTCAGCAACTCTGGGCAGCTCACAACAATCAAACAAATTACAATAAAATTGATAAAACATAAAAAAATAAAGATAAAAGATGGCAAGTATGATGAAGTGAGCAGTCTCACTTCTAAACAATAGGAGAGTAGGGGCCATCCGGGTCTCAGGAAGAACCTTGTTCCAGGGGGCAGGCACTGCTATGGAGAAGGCAAGTTTCCAGGATCCTGAGAGATGACATTATTTAACCGAAGGAACCCAGAATGCGCCAACCCTGCAAGATTGAATTGGTCGGGGAGATCTTATGGGAGATAGGCGATCCCTCAAGTAACCAGGCCCTATGCCATCAGTGGTATCCCACATTGTAGTGTTTTTTTTAATTATACATTTGTATGTAAGGATACAGGATTCATTGGCTGGGATCCTGCACTGCAGGAAGCCAGGGTTTGTTGAAGAAGCTATAATAGTTTGTAGAATATGACTTGTAAATCACAGTAGTTCATTCACTCATTGTTTTAAGCCTAAATGTGTTTGACTTGATATTAGCTTGGCATGATATCAAAGCCAACCATTTTGATTTATAAACCATGGTTAATTGTTCTATATAAGCAAACCATAGGTAAAACAAACCATGGCTTAATTTAATGTTGTGAGCCAATCAGAGAGTATGCTTACTCTTATGTTATTCCATGTTCTTTGCTCTGAGAGCTTGTATTCCTCACCAGACCAGAAGGTGGCAGCAGCAAGCAGGAACAGGGCCACTTTTGCTAATTCAGAAACATAAAAATAGAAGAATCTTTTCCATTATTGTTGCAATAAATCACATTGATGTGTTATGGGAATTCTAACGAGCTTTCCATCTCTTAGCAGGGCTGTTCAGTTTGCAAGATGCAGTACTGTATTTTGTCACTGGGAAAATACTTTTCCCCACTTCCAAATTGTGATCCATTGATTGTTTATGTAGTTGCATTTTTAAGGCAGATGTGCTGTTAATGCAGATCGCATTTCTCTCCCCTTTATCCGAAGTTAGTTTTTAACCAAACACTCTAAAGCCTTTTTAACATCAAGATATATCTCTTTTCTCTGTTGCCATTTCCTCATTTTTTCCCTTGCATTAGTGTTTGGAACAAAAACTGGAAAGTGAATTCTACACTGGCTTCTTCCAGTGGGATGAAGTCCATCAAAATGACATCTCTGGTCTGCTGAAGAGATTTATTCGAGAGCTACCCACTCCTCTTTTGACAGCAGAATACTTGCCTGCCTTTGCAGCTGTGCAGAGTAAGTGCTAGGTCAAACAGACAACACTCCATAGCCTTAAGCATCCATTCTTTCTCTCCTCCCTTGTTGCTGGGGGCCATTACACTGTAGTGGATGTGCTGCTGGACATGTTCTGTAGGCATCTGTGTCCATTTCCTTGATCAGTCATAAGAATAACTTTTTATATAAGCTAGAGATAGGTACCTCATTTGGTACCTCCTAGATTCCTGGTTCCACTTGATTTTATTGTATAGTTAGATTCTTTAAATAAAGATGAAAATTGAAAAGGGTGATGGTATGCCTTAAAGCAAAGCAACAATCTGGAGCATCATAATTTCCAAGAGTGCTTCTGAGCTGCAGAAGGAAATAAAAACGATGTGCAACTACAGCCCAGAGCTTTATTTAGAAGTGGCTCACCTAACCTTCAGAAAGAAAGCTGGGATGATAAAGGTGATCCTGAAAGGAGTGTTAAAGAAGGTAGTAGAGCATAATGTCACCAGTTATAAATGGTTTTTTTGTGCCTGTCCACACCCACCATGGTAAAGCCATTTTGTGAATAGAAACCCTCTCCCATTTTCTGAGGGTACCCAGAATATACTCTTAAAACTCCAAGTGTGTCCTCTTGCCCCAAAAGATTACCCACCCTTGCTCTAAGCATACATCTTAATTTCTTGCAGCTCTCTGGAAGAAGGGATAGCTCACTATGGCATGATCTCTTTCAGGTGGCGCAGTTGAGATTGTCATAGAAAATGCTGTTTGGTAAAATTGTTGTTTATGCACAGTTTTGAATAATTGTAGCAATTCCTGGGATTATAGCAGTTTGCTATCACATGGGTTTCCTATGCAGGTCATGCTGAATATTTTGCACATGAGATGGGTGTAATGGAACAACTGGAATTGGAGTCTTAGAGGTCTAGTTCTCAACAGAAATGCAATTATTCTCTCCACTACAGATATCCCAGATTTGAGACAGAGGCTGCAGGCTCTCAATCTACTCATACTGATTTTACCAGAACCTAACCGAAATACCCTGAAGGTAATCAGGCAAATGCTACTCTGGGAGCTATGACTTGAATAATTTCCAGTGGCAATAAATCACTGGGAAAAAGCAGTAACTTGGTAATGCAATACATTGTTTGCTGGTGTAAGGTCCCAGATTCCCAGTTTTCTCCAGCTATTAGAATCTTAATTTGCAATTTTAGGCAGGACCTCTGCTAAATAGGCTGGGTGGAGAATCCTGAGAGTTGAAGTCCACACATCTGAAAGTTGCCAAGGTTGAGAAACAGTGGGCTATATAATGAGTTGCCTGACTTGACATACCTTCACATTGATATTGCTATAATACAATTGAATGGAAAGGGTTCCTTTTAAAAGAGATGGTCAGTGTGTAGTATTTTAGATGTGTGGGATTGTCACTACCATCATCCCCACTCTTACATACTGGACAGGCTTGATGGGACTTAGGGTTCAGCAACAAGAAGGGCCCATTGTTCATCATTGTTTTAAAAGCTCCACCATTTTGCATAAAGGTTGCTGCTCTTGTTTTGTTCAACTCTGTTTGTTTAGTCATTTCCAATTCTTTGTGACAAAGTAGATGTTATTTTGCCAAAATGGTGAGGATTTGTTAGTGTCTGCTGGACTCCATACCCCATCAACATTTATTGGAGATTTTTTAAAATTTAAAAATAATAAGTGAATGGAAGCTGTGGTGCTGCAGAGAAAACACTAGCCTCTAGGAACATATTTATTTCCAAGAATGGGCCCCATTAACACTCCTAACAAGATAAAATTTCTGGAAAGCTTCAAACCAGTGCTTTAGTAGTGTGCCAGCCTACCAGGAAATAGCCACATGCTTTGAAATTCTAAATGTACCAGTGATTCAGATGGGTTAGGAATTCCTGCTAACCCATGTGAGTTGAACACTGCAATGCCCAAATACCAAAATATTTTTGATGTGCAAAGTAGTTCTACCATAAATTTTTAGAAAGATCATAACACTGAACAACTCACTTGCTTCAACTTGCAGATTTGAGCAGAAGATAGGTATCTTCGGTAAGCAGTCCTTAATATTCAGTCTGTCTGCAACCAAATGGCTGTCTTCTCTCCTCTGTCAGGCACTGCTGGAATTCCTTAGCCTGGTGGTTACCAAAGAAAGGAAAAACAAGATGAGCCTTTGGAATGTTTCCACAGTTATTGCTCCAAACCTCTTCATGCACAAGGGATTGCCAAGCAAGATCCCAGAAGGAAAAGAGAAGCAACTGGCAGAAGGTGCAGCAGATATTGTTCGGATGATGATTAATTATCAAGATTTGCTCTGGACTGTAAGTTAGGGAAAACCTTATTTCCCAAGTCATTCTTAAATTATCATTAGCAAAACGTAATGTAATATTTTTCTACAAAGAGAAAAGTGTTGATTAAAATGATCCTTTTGGTATTTAAAATGACATCTTTTCACTTTCTGTTCCATGCCATCAGTATTTACAAATTCCATTATTAAGATTTGGAATCGTTCTTGACCTATAAATAACCATGATCTAAGAATGATTGTTTCCAAGCAACCAAGAAATTTCCAATGCCTAATGGCTGATAATAACTGAACTTGTGAGGGTGGCGGCGGATGTAATTCAACGTATCAAAAAAGCACATCTTTTGTTTGCTTCCCCCATCTTCAGGAGATAATTCAGAATGATTTCATGGACATTTCTGATATGAGTAAATTGTGTCACTGAGAGTTTGCACACTTGTCACTTTTCATGTTTGCTTTAGGTTCCTTCTTTCTTGGTAACTCAGATAAGAAAACTGAATGAGAACAGCAGCTGGAAGTATCAGTTCTATGACAGGAGGATCAAGAATCTGTTAAGAAAGATTCATGCAGACAAGGAAAAGACGGAAAAGAACAATGGTGAAGTGAGTGAGATCTTCTCTGTCCAGCCACTTTGCACCATTAAGGCATCAGAGAATGGGGCTAAAGCTGGCTATCCTCCCTAATAATCAACGTTGGTCAATAAAAATGACAGGGAGAATCTGCTCATACTGACATGTAGGGATTTAGCATCCAGTTATAACTATCCAGTCACTTTGTGTGAGATGGGCGGCTATATAAATATGTTAGATGGATGGATGGATGGATGGATGGATGGATGGAAGGAAGGAAGGAAGGAAGGAAGGAAGGATGGATGGATGGATGGATGGATGGATGGATAGATAGATAGATAGATAGATAGATAGATAGATAGATAGATAGATAGATAGATAGATAGATAGATAGATAGATAGATAGATAGATAGATAGATAGATAGATAGATAGATAGATAGATAGATAGATAGATAGATAGATAGATAGATAGATAGATAGATAGATAGATAGATAGATAGATAGATAGATAGATAGATAGATAGATAGATAGATAGATAGATAGATAGATAGATAGATAGATAGATAGATAGATAGATAGATAGATAGATAGATAGATAGATAGATAGATAGATAGATAGATAGATAGATAGATAGATAGATAGATAGATAGATAGATAGATAGATAGATAGATAGATAGATAGATAGATAGATAGATAGATAGATAGAAGCATGGATGATTTGGAGGTTAGGGTGGGAGCTGGAAAAGGTAGAAATGAAATGCAGCTGTTATATCTCCATAGGCTGATTTAAGAGTATAAGCAAGGGAGAATATATATGCATACAGGCATGTACACAAATCAAAAGATAGCCCACGGTGTTGCTTCTCCTAGCTATTCCGATCATGCACAACTTTGTTGTCATCTGAGGTGACTTTTCAAAGGCTTTGGGCTGTACATTTGGTTTTGATGTGCAGAAGATCATCAAAATCCTGCAAAGAAGCTTCTTTGATGTCGTTCTTGCATGATTAAAAAGAAATTGGGCTATGTTTTCTAAGAAATTCCTTCAAGAGAAGCAAGGTCTTTCCCTCTTGTAAACACAAGGGGGCATTCATGTTTTATCAGTTCTAGTCCCATGCTGCTCCTCTTATAGCTATATGAAAGAAGTGATTTTAATCATCATTGCTTTATGGCAGTCCTATCCTTTGCTCTTACTGTCTGGTCTGAGAGGTGTAGCAGATATCTGGAGGCAAGAATAATTCCAGACCCTGATTAGCTCAGTATATCTTCACACTAGTTGCAGGCATTTGGATTTATTTTTAATTTGATTCTTTCTTCGTAACTCTTTTACTACCCTCCCTTTCTTTCAGCCGTGCAAAATAGTCAAAGTCCAGGCATCCTTGTTCTTAAAAGATTCTTTGGAAGTTCATTTAACTCATGGAACAAAAGTAGCTGATGTTCTGAGACAGTTCCAGAAGAACCTTGGTCAGAATGGCTGGAATATTGTCAACACAGTCAGCGTTATCAAATGGTAATAGTTCCCCATTTCCCCCCTTACCCTAAGCAAAGTATAGCTTGGCTTTACCTACATACTAAGGCAGGAGGAATTTGTGAGTTAAACAGCATTTAAAGGAAACATATCAGTGTTTGTGTTTTCAATGGCTAGAGGAGTCAGTTCAATCACAGTATGCAAAGAATTGCAGTGAGCAACTTATTTATATGTTTTTCATTACTGTTGGTAGCTCCTTAAGCCTAATGGGGTACTGCATTTGAGAATCTCCGAGTTTGGAGGTGTTTTCTGGGGAATGTGTAATGCTGCTGGGAGGGGAAAAATAGATTGTCATATTAGGATGAAATAGATAAATTATCTACAAGAACTAGAATATATCTGATACATACTGTCTCTTTCTCCATTAATAAATTTCAAATGTGCATGCCAATTAATGTAAAAGAGACTCCAGCTACCTAAATGTGTAGTATATAATCTGAATGTTTCTTTTTAATAGCCATTCAATCTCCCAGGGAGTCCAAGCACTTAATATATTTGACGTATCGGTATACTTTTGCTAGTGTACTTCTTATTTATATTTTGCTAAACTATAAATTGGGGGGACGTGGTGGCGCAGCGGCTTAATGACGCTGAAAGTTGCCGGCCAGAAATGGTCGACGTTTCAGCGGTTCGAGTCCAGCCTTCGCGTTTGCAGGGGGGGGTCCTGTTTCC